ATATATATATATATATATATATATATAACTATTGAATCACAATGGAGTTTACTTTATCCTATTTTTGCCTGTGCTATTATGTAGGGATGATGTAAATGCCATCCCCTACTATCTTGTGTGCATTGTGTTTGAAGGCTTGATATTAGCCATCCTTACATTTACTTCTTTTTTTAGTGTTTCCTTTACTTTAATATACTTCATTTGAGTATAAATCTTAAACAAAAATTTGCAGTCAACTGTAAAGCCAACAGAAAAGAATGCCCACAAAGTTACAGTATATCTTGTATAATATATACTAAAATACAATGAGCTTAGCTCATTTTAAAGAATTAAATAATTATTTCAGTCACAAAAATATGTCCAAAATAATATAATATTTAAAGTTAATATCAACAATGCCATAACTTTATACCTGATTTCATACCTGTTCTGATACACCAGATAAGAAAAAATATTTTGTAATGGACAAAAAAAACAACAAACCCACAAGAAATAGAATTACATATTTAACATCATAAAGTGATATAATTTAAAGTTGCCTGTATTCTTGGAAGTGAATATCATTATTTCATCACATTTATACCCCTACTTGCATCCATTTAGAAACTGATAGTTTTCATTGCATGTTTAGATTACTAGACTATGGCTTCTCAAAGCTGAGACAAATGTAATTACAGCACACCATGACAACATAGGAGAAACAGTGATTGGCTAAACTTGATAAAACTACACCTATGTTGAAATCACAATATCAAATTGGGACTATTTTGTTCAAAAGTATTTCAAGTACCATTTTATACTCAGAAATTTCCTAATGTTTTTGATCCAAGCATGTTGAAATCAACCCAAAATCAAAAAATATTTTTTTTTTGTATAAAGATGTTAGATAAATAAAACTTTTTACTGAATAACCTTCAACTCTGAAGTTGTTTTATAAATGTGTGAAAGACAATAATAAACTTATTTTCTATGCTTTTTTAATTCAATGATGTGATTTGCCCTCGAGGTGGAATGAACTCATCGTGGCACAATAAAGTTGAAATGATTACTTCTACAATATATATATATATATTGATTTTAAAACTATTTGTTACTGTTAACGTTTATAAATACATTTTACTTATGAAATGAAAAAACATAACTTCAAATGTTCATAAAGTACACTACAAAGAATTAATTGCATATGTAAAGCAAAACACACTCAAGTCAGCTTTAGCTGGAATACAGGCAAATTGTAATTCACAGAAATTACAGCACTGTTCATACTTTCTCGGTAATCACAGTACTGCTTTACAAACTGAATCTTCTAATGCTATTGTGCAAGTACAATAAATTTTAAAGCAGGTATGGCAGTCAAATGACACTATTTCATGTTGTTCTACACTTTATTCATAACTGTATGAAAAATTAATTATTGCACTTTCAGCTAAGGCAATTATGTGTGTTCTATTGAAACTCACAAAACACACCTGAAAATATAAAAGTTGTCTTACCTAGCCTATCTCAGGCAAAAACATTTTCAAATAAAGGAAAATAAGCAAAGAGGCAAATTAAACCAATAATTAAGACAATTAAATGAGGATCCATTACAAACATAAAATAAACATGATTTTTAACATAACATTTTTCAATTTCTCTAGGGTAACAGGTTCATCATCTATCAAAATAAATGTGCAAAAACAAACATCAAATGTTAAAGATACATGTATGCTCTACCAAAATGATTATTTATGATTCTACATTAGTATGATGGTAATCATTGTAAAATACTTTATAGCTCAAATATGTCATAGCACATGTACAAAACTTGCTCAGAAATATAAGGCATCTCTATAAATATTCCTTTTTACAATATTTCCTGGCATAAAGAAGAGTAATTACCTGATGAAACTTTGAAAATAATTTCAAGCTTGCAGGCTTATGTTCATTATCAAAATTAACAGTGATGAAATGAGATAATAGCCAAAGCACTGCACCAAGTCCAGTTAAATTATATCCCATATATACTGAGGTTCACTGAAGTTCTTAAGTCTTTTAAATTTTGTTATGGTATATAACACTTTATGCTGGTGAAGTATGACCTGTAGATTGAATGTTTTTGTGAAACTACATCACAATAAGAATGGTAACATTTTTTTTTTATTAATCCAATTTACATATAACATTATATTTGCTTTGCTTTTGTCCTAAGCAAATAACACTGGCAAAGCTTACAGTTTAATAGCAGCCTTTAGTCATGTTGAGATATTTTATACTAATTCACATTGTGTGTTTGTGAATTTGTTTGTTCACAAGCTTCTCTTACACGTTTCGGGTCGAGGATGACTAAACTTGGCAGGTAGGACACAAAGTGCCAAGGAAGTGTCCTTATCTATGTAGTGTAGCCCATCTATCCTTACTTATTTGGGGCAGGTTTGCAGGATTGCTGAACTCGAATCTGGCAATGAATTTTGTGTTCTTGGCCCACCTCAAGCTCCTGAGGGTACCATCCTTGAAACTATGTTCATACCCCCACTCACAAGCTAGTGGAACAAACACGGCACACATGCTCTTGTTACACAGATGAGTGTACTAACAGGGATTTTTACTAGGTACACATCCCTCTTGGAGTAGCTATATAAGTAACTGGGGATAAAGGAAGAGCTTGATCAGTATACTGGAGACTCTGTGAATCAAAGAGGCATTTGAATCATGGAGCAGAGCATGGGTATTTTATACTATTTATACTAAATCAAAACCTGCTCCCTATGACACAATATTTTATCCTTGTATCACATAGGTTTTATACACTGAATATTGTATAAAATATGAAAAATTCATATACAACCAGATAGGCACTCAGTAGAGCACATACCTCCTACATGCAGCGTTGATCATATTTGTCTCTCAAAAAATAGGAAAATGTGTCTGTATGTCCATCGTTATCAATGGACACAGACTATTTTTGGCAGGACAATGAAGATTAATATTCTACATATGCCCACCAAGATTCATCAAAATCCAATAATCTTTAAATGAGTTATAGAGCAAAAATAGTGTGAAAAATGGGTCCCTATGTTGAAAGATAGGTTTTTTTGTTGGATTTTCATGACCTTGAACTTTGACTCTCCAAAAAGTAATTACTTCTAAGTTGGGTCATAGTTCAAATCAAAATCCATTCAGCTGTTTTCGAGAAATCTTGCTGACAAACACGCAAACAAATACACACACACACAGGTGGTGGAGGTAGTAAATGAGAGGTTAATGTTTGAAGTTAAACAAAACTGCAGTGTAATTACTTTAAATAAAATATTCATTAAAAAAAGTGTAAATTGTGCTATGTTTGATCTCCAGAAGACAATGACCTATATGAATATATCAAATGCATTTATAAAATTCTTTGAACATGAATAAACAATGTGTGTGGTTTAGATTTTTTTAACATATTTATATAACCCTCTTATTTTGCTGGATATTTATCTGTTATATAACTATCTAATTCTCTATACATTCATAGATGGTGTAAACATTATACGCAGACTTGTTTTTAGAACAAAGAGGAAATATAGAAGGTATACACATATATTCATACATTTGCAACAGTATTTATAAAAATGCATAAAGAGAATTATTTCAATTTTTTTTTATAACTAAATAACCAACGTTAAACATTTGTAATGCATACCTTGTGTTTGTTGTTTACTAGTAACAGCAAAGTCTCATCCAATCCTTGAACAAACAAGTTCCTGAAGAAAATATTTTCAGCATAATTTTAATAGTCTAAAAAGAAACACTTCCAATTTATATATATATATATATATATACCAGCACTATTTATACCTTACTTTTAAATTCCCAATTTACAAAATTTAGAAACATCTAATCTTTTACATTTTTAGAATTAACATAACAGCCAACTGGCAAGAAAAGGCTTTTTTTTTTTCATGCTTCGACTAACCTTACAAAATTTGTTGATTGTGCTATCTTATTTGAGTGTATGGTATTTATGTCAATTGTAGACTGACATAGGATATGAAGAATGCATTAAAAACTTTTTGATGTGCTTTTCGGTCATGAAGATATCACCAACGAAACAAAACTCTAGACAAGTAATATTCATGGTCAGAAAGTATAAATATATATGTAAATGCATTGGAGTATACTTGAATTTTAAAAAAGTATTATATGGTGTTCTGAGTTCAAAACATGCACACTTGTATTAATGTAAGCAATAAAACATTACGAGTTTAATAACAAACTGTATAGGAGTTTTTTATAAGCTACTTAGAGTCCATATAGAAAACTACAGAAAAAAATGCCTTTATAGATCAGAAGAACCAGATCTATCATACTGCATAAAATGTGTTGCCACTACTGTGCTTTGTGTGGGATTGATTTTGGATGGGTGTACAAGTTTTACTTCCTTATAGACTAGAAGCTAGTGCAAATTTGGCCAGGCTGGTGAACAGTTCACATTCCAGATAGCAAAAGCAGTTCAAACATCTATTCAGAATTAAAAAAAAAGATAATACTGGATAGCTTTGTTTGGGAATCAACCCATCCAAAAAGTTTCCCTGACTTTAAATGCTTTAAATGCTTTACTAAATCAATATGCTTAAAAACTGTATATTTAGTTACATTATTTGATATTTTCTGTAGCTAATTTTAATAGTTTTAAGTAGTATCAGAATGTTTTCTTTGATTGGAAAGATATCTTACCACACAAGCTTGTTTTGCACACTGTGCAATTCAAGGAATATACTATCATCAATACCATAACTGACAATGTCCACTTTTTCAGGAATATGAAGAATATTCATCAGCAACAAAAGACAGTTATTCACATATGAACAATCAGATTCCTCAAGAAAATCTTCCTTTTCCTGTATGAAAAATATGTCTCATAAAACAGCAAAATATATACTTCATTTATCTATTAGTTAAAACAGTTTGACCTTCATACATGTTCACATAATTATTTGAACAAATAATTTTACATTTGTAGAATTAAAACAAATTTCAAACATATACTTACCTCTGAAATACTAAAATACTTTTCTTCTGAAGTTGCTTTTAGGCTGTCCACAATTATATCACTTTAGGTCCTGAATGTTCTTGACACAAAGAAGAATATATTTACACAGAATTCTCCATTTTCTCACCTTCCATAAGTCAGATTTCTATTTTTAAAGTCATGATGATGCAATATATTCCTTTAGTTGTGGGGATAAAGGTGGGAATATATTCTAGAAGTAAGTACCCATTTGAAATTCATCTTAATTCAAAAACTATAAAACTCAAATCAGGTAGATTTACCTCTGACGTACTAAAAGCCAGAATACCCACATTGAAATGAGAAGGATACTGCAGTGTCTTAAGGAACAGACTCGATTCATCAGCGAATCAAGTGAAGTGGACCAACCTCTAGGAGACTGGGCTAAAAGTTAGGACATTCAGAAAGGTATTCTTCTCAGCAGGGTGCCTCCTCTCCCTGGACACCCACTAATAAGGTATATATGTAAATAGGAATGGGAAAAACAATGAAGGTTAAAGAAAAAAAATTAAAGAAAGATATTACATAATCCTCATCCTGGTTGGAGCTATTAGTCACAATATGAAGAACATGCATTTCATTTCCAATGTCTCAAATTTTTCAAGAGGATGTGCATGTCAAGATGGGAAAGATACCTGCCAATGCATCATTAGCCACCATATGGTGGCTTATGTCCACTTCCATAGGACATCACCTTGTGGAGCTCTGGCATACAGGGTGGAATTTGTTCAGGACAAATGCAAAGGTATATGTAATATGCTAGAGTCCTAACTGGACAAACTTCTACACAAAGTCTCATATTATAAAGAATGAGACCACAATTTCTTAATTTATTTTATAATACAAAATTACTGATCAACGTTAGATACTCCTGGAATTCTTTACAGGAGTATTGGGTAGTATAGAAATACAACACAGGTGTGGGCCAAGTGATAAATAAGCAGGTAACAGACAAAAATTAACTAACATGGTAGAGATTCTATTTGGTTTGAAGAACCACAACCAGACACAAAGGAAACATAAAGTTCACAAGACAGCAATAAGATGTAAGTAGAGTTTCAAGAACATATTAGAAGTTGTCCTTTATAGAATACTGTAATCAAGCTGCCAAAGAGATTGCCAAATGACAACTTTAGTGAGATGTGACCCAAAATTCACTTTTATGGTGTTCTAGAATATCACAATAAACAAGATGGATCAACTGCACAATCTAATTTGTCAAAATAGTCCAAAGAAGATCCAAAGAGAATAATTAATCCTATGGTTTAAACAACATTTTTCAAGCCTTCCTAAAAGATTCAGTAAGGGTGAGATAACAACAAATATCCTTGACTGGAGAAAGAACAGAACAAGAATCAGGATCAGAAAGGGTAGGTAACACAAAAGATTAAAAAATATATATAGGCTTGAAAGTGAACATGTTTAGAATGAAGCCAAGAAAAAAGAAAAACAGTAGCAAAACAAAGACTGCAAGAATGAGTACCACCTTGATTACTGACATAAGCCACCATTACAGAACTGCCTGGTGAACCATATAAAATGGTGGTTGTATTAAAGGCAAAAACTTGAGACAATAAGTTCAACAGCCCAAAATTCTAATATACTTATGACAGCTTTTGCTTTTCAAGGAGCCCAGGAACCAGAACAACAGCAATTTATTAACACAGTGCTCAAATCTGTAATAGAGGTATCCATTAAAAGGAAGAAAGGGAGACCCAGCTCTCAATAAACTCTTGATTCAATCAAAACAGGCTTGATAGTGATGAGACATACAGTTATACTATGTGATAATGTCACAGGTGAGTAGGTTAGAAGGGACCAAATGACATAGTGAAGAGAAGCCCTTTCTCCCAAAGCAGAAAGGATGTATTTGGTGGTAGATGTAGAAGACAGATGAGTATGAACACAAGACTTAAACTGTGTTGATCCAAAATACTTGATGTACCAAATACTGCACTGGTACTAAATGGAACCTGGATTTGTGGATAATCTACCCAAGAGACTTGGCTAACTGGGTGGTCAAATGAGGGTGTTGAAAAGACTGAATGGATAAATGTGTCAGAATAAGCCAATCATTTATGTAGAAATGATAATCAGTGTTGAGTGAATGAAAGAGAACAGTAGAAATTGACTATTCAATACAAAATGTAAGGGTCTAAGGTCAAGCCAAATGGAAAGGTGGTGAACTGAGAGACTAGCCTCATATGGAAAAAAGGGCAAACACGGACTACTGAAAAATGAATTAGGATATGCAGATAAGCATCTTCTATATCCACCTTTAACATCCAATGCCATGATGAAGAAATCTGCATAACTTTATATTTTACATTTTGAAATAAGATGACTCTAGGTGATGATTGATTTAAGACAGGTCCATGGGTCTCCAAATTCCTTGATTTTTTGGGAAACAAAGAGATGGAAGTAAATACCAGGAGAAGAATAAGAAAATACTTTAACAGCCCTTTTTGAAGGAGATTTGAGACTTCCTGATTTAAAAATTGTAAACATCTGGATTGGAAGGAAAAAGAAAAGATAATGGGTGAAGAGAAAGAGGATGAAGAAACTAAAGGTAAAGGTCAGACTGAAGGATCTGATGAACAAAAAGATCCTAAAGCCAAGGATCTTGCAAATATACAAATGATCCAAGAAGACCCACCCAAACACTGTCTAGAACAGAATAGTGTCACGGAGTTGGTCAAGAAGACCCATCTTGCTTACTTCTATGTTTGACTATACTAGAGGGTGAAAAGAAAGAGTACAAGTTACAAATGGTGACTGAGAGGTCAATGAGGTGAGAGAAGCCAGAGTATGAACAGTACTTACTGGTTGTCCTAAAGAATAACAACCAAAAGACAGTTAAAAGGTCAGAACCTTAATCAGCTTCCGCTGGTGTGCTTTTCCAGAATGAAAAATAAGTTCATGTGAAATTCCTGCAAATAGAAAATGATGCAAGAAAAAAAAAGGCTCTTTTGAGTTCAACAGAAATATTAGTGGAAGACAAGTACTGTGCAATACAGCCCAATTGGCTAAGGTATCAAAGAAATGTAATAGCCGCATGGTATTGGAAACAACATGAATGAGAGCTGCAGCCAAGGAAGACTACAAGGTACAAATTTAGTAATTTGTGATATAATCAGAAGAATGAGAGCAGCTGGTAACTAATAACTGCACTGAAGAAACAAAGTTTCAAAATGAGACAAACCAAACATGCAAGGCAGAAAACCAATGACGAGTCAAAGTCGCTAAGACCACATGGCAGACCTCCCCCAATAATTGACCTGAAGACTAAGAACTTGAGAAGAATGATGTGTAGTAAGTACTGTAGAAATGGAGTCAAAATAGGGATATGTAACTTGAGAAAATAACAGACACTATTTTAGCCTTGTTTGTTTATGTCTTTTTAGAGTCCCTAGTTGTTGGCTTGAAAATATAATCTTTGCATTTTGATTTAACGTGTTTCTGTACTTTTTTGATGATCCCTATTCCCCCTTTCTAAATTAACAATTTTTACTAATCTTTTTTTAATGGAGAGTAAATTTTAAGCTACATATGTGCATATGCCTCCAGTTGAATGTTACTTGTTTTTCAAGCATTTACTGCTGCATTAGCTTTTTCCCACTCAACCACCACACTGAACTTATTCAAATTAAATAAAGAATATACAACAAAAATAAACATATGTATTGGTATGCAACTACAACAAAAAAAATGGAAAGTTGTTCTCAAAGGACCTTCTTGAAGGCAAAAATTGTATCATCACAGATTTAATAATTCGCTTCCATCAATGTCACAGTGTAATGTAACAAAAGATAAGCAGCAACAAAGCAATCTCATCAGAATAGAATAATGTTTCTTCTAAGATAATACAACACAGATTAATGCAATGTAAGCACACTCAGTGACATGCTTACCTTGTTAGGTCTACATGACACATATGTATGTCCTTCAATAGCCTGCTGTGCACAAGTGTTTGTTAGAAGAAGGCAATAGCTATATGAAATAGTGCTACATGCAGTGGTAATAAATACTGAATATGTACTCACAATTTCAGCTAGATATAAGAAAGAGAAGAAAGAATCACCACCATCATCTGAGTAGGGAATCTAGTATGATATTCATCTCCTGCTAAAAACATGCTGAAATATAGTCACAGAAATCCATGTAGATACAGCAAACTTGAGTAACAATGAACAACAGTGACTCAAGTAATGATATGCAACAGCAAAATCAGGAATCTTTCATGTGGCAGTTTCCAATTAATGTGCTGGAAAATGCATAAGTTGTAGTTTCCAACTTATGCACATGCTAGAAAAACACTGTATTTCTAGATTTTGGTGCAAAATACCCAGCTGATTTTGCTGTAGGCTTGTGAAACAATAATAATATGAACAAATGGGCAAATTTTGCTTGTCTACAACCGTGAAATCACTTATTTTTGCTAATTATCAATGTTTGGCTGATCTTAGCTTTTCAAAAAGAAGGTTTTGAGTGTTGTTTCAAGAATAAATCTGCTTTTTAATGTTGTTTTTGCCCAAATGTTCTATTAGAGTTTTGAGCAAATTCTTGTGTGATTCCTATTATGAACCACTATCATAATTCATGATATATTACAGTGTCTAGTTAAACTACTTAAACCTGATGATGAGAAAACCTTCTCCAAATACTGCACATTTGTTACTGCACTAAACTTTAAATAGTTTTCTTTGTTACCCATTTAACCCATCTCTAAACTGTATACTCACCTTATCTAATGTTATCTGGTGTCTTTTCATAGAAGACAATTAGCAAAGCTATAGCTGATATAATTTAACAAATATTTTTACAATTCACAACAAAACGAAAATTTACAGAAACTATAAAAAAATAATTCTTAAACTTGTACTATTACTCTATTATTACTGTGATAGTCTAATTTTTGCTCTAGCCCAGAGATTCTCAAACTGTAGTATGCATACCACTGGTGGTACGTGGAGCTAATGTCGATGGTATACGACACAATTAATATAAAAAACCATATTTGTAATACGCCCTATATGAGCTTTCCACATACATATACATATTACTCTCCTTTCTTATAGAGTCACCCTCTACTTGCATAGACTCGCCAGTATTTTCTTTCCTTAACATTGACAAAAATGGTACCATATATTCTTCAATTGTGCCAGGAAAACAATCACATCCTTTGCATAAATAGGTAGGTGTTAAAAATATGAATTTTTGTCTTTTTTTTTTTAATTAGGTCTGGGTTTGTAATTTTTAAAAATTAAAGAAACAGTGGAATGCAAGTCTGAAATGTCTGAGAAACACTGCTCTAGCCAATCATATGTACTTTCTTTACATCTTTTTTAAAAGCTGTGTTCTATTAGTAAATGACTGAACCACTTGATGAGACATCATGACAAGGTTTCAACCTGTGCAACAGCTAAGGGAAACTCTTGAAAATCAAGAAATGGATAATATATTCTCAAATGGTGATAGTCCTTAGTAAAATTAGTTATTCTTTTGGCTGGGAATAAAAATTAAAAAAAAAAAACAATTGACAAGTAGGTTGTTTTGTTTACAGGCAAAATTCTTTGCGGCTTCTTGAAAATCAAGAAATGGAGAATATATTCTCAAATGGTGATAGTCCTTAGTAAAATTAGTTATTCTTTTGGCTGGGAATAAAAATTCTAAAAAAAAAAAACAATTGACAAGTAGGTTGTTTTGTTTACAGGCAAAATTCTTTGCGGCTTCTTGAAAATCAAGAAATGGAGAATATATTCTCAAATGGTGATAGTCCTTAGTAAAATTAGTTATTCTTTTGGCTGGGAATAAAAATTCTAAAAAAAAAAAACAATTGACAAGTAGGTTGTTTTGTTTACAGGCAAAATTCTTTGCGGCTTCTTGAAAATCAAGAAATG